TGATCACTTACATGCAAAGGGGGCATAGGCACATGGGACAAGGTCAAAAAAATGGCAGGTGGGAGACCTGAGTGACAGTCTTAGCTCTTAGGGTACAAGTCACAAAATCTTGCTGTACCTTCTTTTTACCTCATATGGCATACTGAGGGTGTGGATCACATGTGGTGAAAGGAGATTTGCATCTCTAAAATTCTATGGCTTTACTAAAATTTTAATGCATGCAAATCACTTGCCAGATGTTCTCAATAAATAAGAATGAACATCTACTACAGGGCCCAAGCACTCAAGGAGTTTATTGGTATTCAAATAAGGTTCCTATTTTTATTTTTTAAAGAGAGAGAGAGAGAGAGAGAGAGAGAGAGAGAGAGAGAGAGAGAGAGGGAGAGGGAGAAGGAGAGAGAGAGAGAAAGAGAATTTTTTAATATTTATTTTTTTAGTTTTCGGTGGACACAACATCTTTATTTTATTTTTATGTGGTGCTGAGGATCGAACCCAGCGCCACTCGCATGCCAGGTGAGCGCGTTACCGCTTGAGCCACATCCCCAGCCCCAAGTTTCCTAATTTTTAGAAGACACAAAATCCTTGATGAAGACAATTTCATTAAATATGTTCAGTTCTGAAAGTACACCGAAATTCTGACTTGACCAATTTTATAGCCTTTTAAAAAGCTGTTTTAATTCTGGGGGAGGTGTTAAGGCGTTTGAATGCAGGACAGTTTAGGGCTAGCGGCATTGGTATTTGGAGTCCACTGGACCTGGATTTGGACCCTGCATTTTTCAGTGACTACAGTGTTACTGTGGACAAGAGATGGCTTCTCTCTCAGCCATCTTCATTATTTTTCTCATGTGCAAAATTGGGGTAACCACGCCTATTTTCTTGAGCTTCTGTGTAACTAGCTGAGTATGTTTGCGACTTGTACAACACACAAAGACATGGGTAGCAAGGGTTCAGTACAAGGACTGCCCAATCCCTTGAATGGATAGGTACTGTTGTAAGTACTAAAAGAAAAGAAAAACTCCCTGTGAGAATCTGCTTCTAAAACAAAGGCTCACACCAATCCTTCCTCTGACCCTAATTCTATCAAAGATAACTGGGAAGGAGATTGTTAGTTTTAGATGGAAGCATCCTAGTTTAAGTTTGGCAAGGAATTAATGAATCAAATTAGTGGAAAACAATACTCTTCCCTTGCCATCTGTTTAAGGAGCCACTCATCAGCTTTGGGCATGCCTGTGCTTTCCTACCTCGGTATTCTTTTTCATCCTTCTTCTCCTCCCTCAGTCATAATCATTCAAATGAAAATTCAAATGGAACTCCTCATTGCATACCTTCTGGAACCCAGCTAATATTCTTCCCACCAGGCCCTGGATGTCCATCCTTCACTCACCTCTCATTGTGTCATGGTTATCTCTGGAAAGATCTTATCTCTCCTGCATCTTAGAGACAGGATCTTTGATTCTACTTTATAACTACAAATACCTAACATTGTCCCTTTCACATATTAGTTATGCAAAAAGTTATTAGTTATGCTTGCTTAATTAATAATCAGTCTATATTCTGGTAAAATAGCTAAAAACATTAGAAAACAATGGTTGATGTTGTGATTTTAGGTGTAAAAATTTAAGTTGGGATGTTTTTACAAGGCAGAGGCAGAAAGGAACCCTGCTGTGTTACATGTTCTCCAGAATGGGGGCTGGGTTACAGTCCCTCTGCCAAACCCATCCTCATAAACTCACAAGAATGGGAATGAGGAAGGAAACAGTTCCTATTTTATTCTCTTTCCATAAACATGAACTAACATTTAAAAGCAGCAGCCTACCACAGAAGCTTTTTTATACAGCAAGCTTAACATCACAGACAGAAGCAAGGCAGCTGAGTGTGGGTATTGTGTACACAGTAAATCAGGCACAAAAAGGGGCAACGCAGCAGGCCACCAGGAGGGCAAGATGCACACTTAGCCCCCGTGTATATGCTGCTCCATTTCTCCCCATCTCAGTCCTCCGCAGCTGGTACCGAGTGTGTCATGGAAGTAACAGGCCATTTTCAATCTAAATCTTGTTATAGATTAATAAGCAAACATTTTCTTGCTTATTATGCAATTTATCATGATGAAAATTACATTGGACTCCTCAAGGCTACATGCTGATACATTCATTTATTCAGAGCTGTGTATAGAAAGTCATACTAATCTTCGTGACAGGAAGGATGTAATAGCAAGATTTAAATTACCACTGAAAGCTACAGCATTTGTGTCTGTAGGCACATACATGCAGATAGAATGTAAGTGTATCTTTATTTTAATGATATAGCTTAATTTAAAATTATTTGAAAATGAAATAAAATTGTAAATACTAAAATTAAGAGAAAAACCTCTCACTGCTCCTTCCAGGTAACAAAATAATGAACATACTGTTGAAACTGTGTTTAGCTCAGATTTGAAAATAAGCTATGCAAGGCTAAGGGAAATTCTAGACAATCAGAATATGCCAAAGGCTTCTCGGGATAAACTGGGAGAGTGGTGGTAGCTGGGGCCCATACTGTGGTCTCCCCAGAGGGTATGTGTAGCAATGATGCCAGACGGAGACCAAAAGTTGTAGATATGTTCCAGAGCTTTGCACAAAGGCCAGATACCTTGTGCTATTAGCATAAACTTATGGATTCACATTCCCTTCCATTCTCTAAAGTCTACTGCAAATCATCTAGACTCCTATATCCAGAAACTACACTGTCAACCATGCTTCCAAATTGCTCATTCCAGAAATGGGTTCAACAGCTACTGAGCTGTTGAACACTGGGTTCATACCACAACCTCACTACTTATACTATCACCATACCATAGCAACCATTTAATTTCTCAAGATGTGCTAACTACACTTCTAAGCATTTGTAAATATAAACTCATCTAGCATCAACCTTACAAAACAGGTACTTTAACTAGCTCCATCTAAAGTGAAAATTAAGAAGCCTGGCAGTATGATAGAAGGTAAAGAGGGAAGGCAGCTGCTTAGGTTTGAAATGAATATTTTCCTCCTACCACTCAATCTTGGAACACTGGGCAGGGAATGCCCCCTCTCAGAGTGGCTAGCCTTCAGTTGCTTATCTGGTCTCCACTCTCTGAGCTTAAAGCAGTCAGCAGAAAAACTATAGGTCCAAAGCATGTTGGAACCTAAGAGAACTGGGGGGCAGGGAATGGTAACCATGAAGAAAAGAACAGATTACTCTAGTTTTTTAAAAAGATTAATGATGACAATAATAAAATGTCATTCACTGAGAAAATCAAAGAGGTAGTAACATTTTCATGAAGGAAGGCACGATGGGGCAGTTCAAGAATTCCTACACTTTATACCCACTAGGTGACTACACTTTAAAGAAAAACATGTGTTGGTGAGGATGAGGAAAAATGGAACTCTTGTACAATGCTGGTGGGAATGGCAATGTTGTAACTACTGTGAAAAACGGGTTGTTGGCTGTTCAAACAGTTAAACATGGAATTACCATATATCCCAGTATTATGGTTCGGATCTGGAATGTCCCAAAAAGCTCACATGTTGAAAGCATGATTCCCATCGCAGCAAGGTTCGGAAGCAGGACTTTTAGTTAACGTTTAGATCATGAGGACAGTAACCTCATCAGTGGATTTGCCCACTGATGGCTGAATGGATTACTGGAAGGTTGGCCTAGTTGGAGGAACTAGATCACTGGGGGCACGCCCTAGAAGGGTTTATCTCCCTGCATCTTCTGCTTCCTGGCTGCCATGACCTGAGCAGCTTTCCTCTGTTCCTCCTGTATGCCGTAATGTTTCTGCCTTGGAACTGGCTGCGATGGACTGACACCTCTGAAACCACAAGCCAAAATAAAACATTTCCTCCTCTAAGTTGTTTTTACCAGGCGTTTCAGTCACAGCAACGAGAAGCTGACTAACACCACAGTGATTCCACTCCGGCAAATGAAAACAGGTGTTCAGAGGAATTCTTGGATGTAAATGTTCACAACAACTCTATTCACAGTAGCCAAAAGGTAAAAATAAGCCACATGTCCATGCACAAACAAACATTAGGTGGTATACCCACAGATGGAATGTTGTTCACTTATGAAAAGAAATGAGGTAATGATACATGCTACAACATGGATGGACTCTAAACACTGTGCTAGTGAAAGAAGTCAGTCACAAAAGACCATAGGTTGCATTTATGTGAAATATCTAGAATAGACTAATTTATAGAAAGCAGGTTAGTGATTACCATGGGCTGGTGGGAGGCGGAATGGGAAAAAATTGCTTAATGAGCATGGGTGTCTATTTGGGGTGACAACTAATGGGGAACAGTCTAGACCATGGTTATGTAATTGATGGTAAATTTCAAGTTGTGTATAATACACATACACACACAACCAAAAACCAACAAAAACAAAAGAAAGAGGGAGGGGGAAAAAAAAACTCTTCCAGGCATCAGGAGGCTGAGTTCTCCAGTCCACACTAATCTCCCTCTATCTCCACCAGCACCTGCACCTTCACCCCGTCACTCCTAGAACACCAGCTGCGTTCCCACTCGTGTTGGCAACTTGCTGCACTCATTTCTCCCTTTCACTATGTGATCATTGTTTTCCTGGATCACTGCAACCTCTTTATGACTAATCTTTTACTGTGCGCAAACGATAAAGCTGATTTTAAAGTTAACACGAGTGTGGAGGACTAATTCTTCAAACTGTTTGGCTATGTCTGAGTAATGCATTTCAGATCTTATAAACAATGTCTTTATGCTGTTGTTAGCTCGGAATGTCTCCAGGTAAAATAAACAAAGTTTAATCAGTCACTGACTCAGGGCTGAATCTCAGTTGTATTAACATTACAGAAACGTGCTTCTTTTTATTTACCAATACCCCAAATTGCTTATATTCAGATAATGTCTATGAAACACATATAATTTATGAAGGATAATTGATGACCTCCACAAAAAATCCCCCCAAATAACAACAAATTAAATTCACTGGAATTCAGCACATACTTGGCAAGTTGTTTCTCTGCATCAGCACAGAGTTCCAGAAGCCCCATCAGAACAGCAGATACATCCATGTAAGGCTCCCACACTGTGAATCCTCGCCCAATCAGGTCAATGGCTGTTCGACGGATAGTGCTGTGTGGAGGAAGTTTGGGGCTCGGTGGCTGAAGCAGAAGAAATGTCAGAGCCTTACCTAAAATCACAAAATAAAATGCAGAGCTGTAAAGTAATTACACTTTTGTGATGTTTTCTTTGAAGCATACTTTCAAAATATAAACCATTTTATTTTTACCAAAACAGTTGTAAACAATAAAATTATAAAAGATTTTGAACTTAAGAGTTTGTTCAGTCATATACTATCAAGAGAAAATATTAAGACTTCAATATTTTATACAAAATATTAAAGTATTTAATGACATAATAATTATATGTAAATATGCATATATAACTTCTAAATATTGTGAGTGATCTTAAATTCCAAACAGCGTTTCTTCCTACTCAGCATTCTACAAAATGGAGATGGTTTCAAATAAGATAATATGATATTTCTTAACTTCCTATTGTATCTACTGCAGTTCATTTGTAAACTGCTTCCCATGGATAACACCTCTCCTCTCATTATAGGCAATGAGGGGACAGGGACGGAGAAGGTAGGGCGTGAAGCTCAAAATGCTTCCCTCCCCGGAATGGGTTCCTCCACTTTCTCTTGCTGAGTACCAATACATGACGATGATATTAGCAAATGGTAAGTTCTTCATATAAGTTTACTAGATAAATTTTAAAACAGCACAATCGCAAAACTGTTCTAAATCTGATGAAATGACCTACATTTGGGGGAGAGGTACCAGGGATTAAACCCAGGGGTTCTTAACCACTGAGCCACATCCTTAGCTCCCCAACCCCCTCCCCTTTTTTTTTTCATGTTATTTAGAGACAGGGTCTCACTGAGTTGCTTAGGGCCTCTCTGAATTGCTGAAGCTGACTTTGAACTCATGATTCTCCTTCCTCAGCCTCCCAGGCCACTGGGATACAGGCATGCGTCACTGCACCCAGTCCTAGATTTTAATTGTATATTTTATGTTGAAGATTATGCTGACAGTTGATATTCAAAAAAGAAAAAAAAAACACTAGGGATTATGAAAAACAAACTGTAATTTAGAAGAGCTCTTTTTGTTTGTATTTTGAGGAAAAGAGAGAAAACTTCATAAATCAGGGAACAATATAGCATAGTGAATAAGGGGAGCAGGGGCTTCCAACTGAAGATGGAGATGGCCAGGTACATGAATGGAGGATCCCTGTAGGGCCTGGCTTAGGAGGCTACTCACAGAGCCACAGTTTCCTTTTCTACAAAATGCTGATAACATAGGGGAGCTATCATGAAGATTCTGAGTGTGAAGTGAACTGATGGCCGTGGAGTGCCTGGCACCTGGTGAGTGCTCAAAATACGGCAGGCAGCACTCATTATCAATAACACCTTGAACTTGTATGTCTTCCAAAATAAGAACATGGCATATAAACTTTAATTTGCCAAACAAATAATAGCATTTAATCACATTTACCTTAGAGTCAACAGGTAAGTGAGAAGGGTGAAGTAGAGGTGAAGAGAAGGGAAGGGTACTGTAAGGCCAAGAATCTACAGAGACATTGTGTCAATTGGTGGTTTTGAATTTCTTCTCATAGAACCCTTGAAGAATATACTGAAGCCATCAGCCCTTTTCCCAGGAAACTACATACATAAATACACATCCACCAAATTCTGCAAAAAATTTCAAGGAGGCCACAACCTTGGGTTAAAAACTCGGGTACATATAAAATGTCTCTTTGAGGAAATATCCCCAAATTCATACTTCATATGTGTCTGTATAAATTTTACGCTCATTTTTAACCATGTTAATGTCATATGAAAGCCTCCTGTTTTGCTTTTGGATAAAAAGAATTAATGAACTCCTTTTTAAAACAGTGACCACTGTTCTCACTTTTCTGCCTGCTCTTGTATGCGCCACACCTTTTGATATTTTAAAACATGAGCATTTCTGTGCATTTCCCTTTTCCTCAGTAAGCCTGTCACCTCCATAAGACTAGGACCTGTGTTTCACGTAACTCTGTATCTCTAAACCCCAAAACGCTGTGTTTTGCATTCACTGTGGGCCTAAAACAGAAAACGGATCTGCCTGTCCTAACACGTACATTCCTAATGTGGCTCCCGGCTCCAGTGCCAGAATATTACAAAATGTCAAGAAATGTACCACTTTCCTGTTTATTTCCAGGAAGTTGTAAGAGCAACAGAGAAACCCCAAGTGCTGCTCTCTGCAGACATCCTGAAGCACCAGCAGCAATGGCTTCCAATCTAAGCACTAGGGCTCCCTGGAGGAGTATTCTTAGTAAGTAATATGGCAAAGGGGAAGGAAGGTTTCCTGAGTACAATGTTTTATAGCCTTTCAATCATCATTTTCCTTCACTGCACTCTACCATCTCAGTATTCATTACAGGTAGGAACATTCTGGCAATGCTAGGGACCTTGCTGGCTTCTAAGGGCCTCTGTGATAGGAACTCTGGAGGCAGCTTCCTCACCACTCTGACATTTTTTTTTTCCCTGAGAGCCAAAATAAACAGTAAGTGGCTGAATTCTTGGTATTTTTCATCACTGTTCTAAGGAAATAGGAAGGACGGCCTAGGAGATGTGATCACTGGCCCTCCGATGAAATGACAGAAAACAGGAATTCAGCAAGTGTCCTCCAGAAGACCCCTGGCCCTGCAGTGGCCCACCAGGTTGCCTTGCTGCTCCCCTACACAGTGTGACCCACGACGAGTGGTGAGGATCGCAGCACAGCAGGAAATACAGGGTCTCTGGAGCACTGCTGCCCTTCCTTAAATCATTTTCTATTCCTCTCAATGATCTCATAAGTAAAATTCTCCTACGGCATCTCTCCTTCCAAAGTTCAAATTATAGTCTCCAGATAACATAAAGCAAAGATTCCGACCACTTTGGCAGGGCAGTTTTCACAGCTCTTATAGGACATGTGGAGGGCATCAAAGGAGAAGAGAGAAAAATGGTCAATTTCACACACATTTTACATCTAAAAAAGTATGCTTTTTTCTAACAAGCTCTTTTAGAATTATGAAAACATACAAGTGATAAAATTCCACATTTGTCTCTGATATCTTACTGTTATATAAATTAAGAAGTTACAAAGGATTTTTGAGTTAGACCCTTTGCTTTGTTAGCCATATTAATTTGCAGCATGCTTATGACTATGGCTGCAGCAATAACAATGATATTCTGAAGAAACAACTGAGAATGCCTGATTTCACACTTCATCAGATATTCCTTCTGCTGATACTATGGAACTACTCCTTAAAATATTGTTGTATGAAAACAAGAAGGGATAGATATTCTTTTCTCAACTTACTTTGTACTCTCTCATTTAGGATTTTCTAGCTTAAACTGCATCTCTGCAAATACAGACCAAAGTGATGTAAAATAAAGATAATGATGGTACCCTATCCTAATAGATAGTATCCTACCTCTTGATAGAAAAAGTCTCATGACAGAATTTTATGATTTAAAAAATTTAAATTTTTTTTAAACCTTTGCCACCCAGTAAAGGTTTTGTGTATGTGTGTGTGATTTGTACTGGGGATTGAACTCATGTCTTCACTCTTGCTAAGCACATGCTCTATCACTGAGCTGAACCCCGATTCCCAGAAGTTGTCTATGTTAACTTGTATAAGATGGATTCTAATTTTGTGCAAAAGTACATATTTACTTATTTTATGTAAATTCTCCACTGTTCCATAGCATCTCCTTGAATAATAAGTAAGGTAGAAAATGATGTTACCATCTACCATCATGAGTAAGCTCTTCCTAAAAGGATCTCCAATGACAGCATCAAAACATTCAGGTGACTGGCCTGACATTCATTCAAGACTTTCCACAATTTGGTCCCAACCCATCCATCCATCCATCACCTAATAGTTATTTATTGGATATTATTATACTATACTAAGTGCTTGAGAAACATAAAAGAGTAATACTAAGTTTCTTTCCTTAAAGAAATTAATTCTCTTTCAAGAGACAGGTGAGTTAACAGTTTGAATATATTATAAACAATATTATAATGTTTATAAGCACAAATTATTAACACAGACCTGAACAGAAGCATTTAACTCCATCTTTAGGGGTACAAAAAAGGCTTCTAGGAGAGGTGACCTCCATGCCCAAACTTGAAGAACTATTAGGAATTAGCCAAATACAGGGGAGATCAGAACAGAAATATTCTAGGCAGAGGGAATAGCATGTGGAAAAATAGGAAATGGGAGAGAATGTGGCAAGATCAAAAGACTACACGTAGTTCAACATGGCTGAAAACTGTATATGGGGATTGGAAGTAAAGGGTAAGGGGGATTAAGTATAGCAGTAGATATAAGGCAAAAAGTTCTTAGAGCCATGCTAAGGAGTTTGTTTATTGTAGTAACAACAGGAAACAATTGGAAAATGTTAAGCAAAGAGATGATTTTCATCATAGATCAACACTTGAGTTGTTGTGATTGGAACGACCTAGTTTCTTTTCAATTCTGATCTCATCCCTGGCCAAATGAGATTATTAATTAATTAATAACAGAATTTCTGAATTAAAAAGGACTGTAGAAAGATCTGGTGTGTTCCCATGTTTTAGAAGAGACAGCTGAGAACCACAGGATGCAAATGGTTAGCTATAGCCCAAATAAGGAGTCCAGCTTCTGTGGCCCAGACCATGTGTAATGACCAGAATGCATCTCTGAACGCTCATGCGTCAGGGAGTCATGCTGAATTCATGGTACTTCCTCAACCACAGATTCGGAACTGCATCCTCTACAACCTATCTCACGTCTGTCTGCTCCTCCTTCTGAATTAATTTTTGCTTCAGTAACCAGTATCTCCCCAAAACAGATTAAATCAATTATAGGTTTTTATCTTTTCTCACACAAAGAGGTTTTTTTCATTGGTTCAACAGCTAAAGACAATCATATCAGGGCCCCTTTATTGTCTTGGTTCTAACTTAGTTGCATTATGGGCACAAAATGACTAATTCTTCATCCAGCCCAGTACCATTTCACAGGCAGGAAGAAGAAGAATGGTGAAGGAATAAAGGACATGTAATAGTTAAGTATTTTTTGCTTTGAAGTCTGATTACTCTTCATGGGTCATAATTA